GCCTAGGAAGCACAGAGAGCCCCAAACAAGATGAACTCAAAGAGGTTCATACCAAGACACATAACAAATAAAATGTTAAAAATTAAGATTAAAGAAAGAATCTTAACAGCAGCAAGAGAAAAACAACTATTACATACAAGGGAAAACCCATAAGGCTATCAGCTGATTTTTCAGCAGAAACTTTGTAGATCAGAAGGAAGTGGCATGATAAATTCAAAGTGAATAAACCTACAACCAAGAATGGTCTATCTAGCGAGTTTATCATTCAGAATTTAAGGAGAAATTACTGAAATTGAATCCCAACAAACAAAATTCCAGGACCAGATGGCTTCACAAGTGAATTCTACCAAACAGTTAAAGAAAAGTTAATACCTATCCTCCTCAAACTATTCCAAAAAACTAAAGAGAAAGGAAAGCTTCCAAATTCATTCTATGAGGCCAGAATTACCCTGATATCAAAACTAGACAAAAATACTACAACAGAAGAAAATTACAGACCAATATCTCTGATGAACATAGATGCAAAAATCCTCAATAAAATATTAGCAAACAAAATTCAACAATACATTAAAAGGAGAAAATATTTGCAAATCATACACTCATTATCCAATACACACATATACATTAAAAGGTTTATTTGCCATGACTGAGTATGATTCATTCTGATGCAAGGAGGGTTTATATCCACAAATCAATGTGATATACCACATTAATAAACAGATTAAAAAATCACATGACCATCTCAATAGAAAGATCACTTGACAAAATTCAACATTGATTTGTGATAAAAACTTTCAGCAAAGTAGTTATAGAAGGAATATGTCTCAACATAATAAAAGCCATGTATGTCAAACCCACAGCTAACATCATACTCAATGGAGAAAACTAAAAGGTTTTCCTCTAAGATTCTAAGAGGAACTAGACAAAGATGCTCACTCTCACTACTTTTATTCAATATAAATCTGATAAGGGGTTAATACCCAAAATATACAAAGAAGTCATACAACTCAATACCAAAAAAAAAAAAAAAACCAAGTAATCCAATTAAAAAGTTGACAGAGGACCTGAATAGACATTTTCCCAAAGAAGACATACGTCACCTCACACCAGTCAGAATGGCTAATATCAACAAGTCAAGAAATATAAGTGTTGGAGAAAAGGGAACCCTTGTGTACTGTTGGTGGGAATGTAAATTGGTACAGCCACTATGGAAAACAGTATGGAGGTTCTGCAAGAAATTAAAAATAGAAATACCATATGACCCAGTAATTCCACTTCTGGGTATTTACCTGAAGAAAATAGAAACACTGACTCAGAAATATGTGCAACCCACGTTTATTGCAATGTTATTTATAACAGCCAAGATACAGAAGCAACTTAAGTGTTCATCAGGAGATGAATGGATAAAGATGTGGCACATATACACAATAGAATATTACTTATCCATAAAAAAGAATGAAATCTTGACTTTTGTGACAACCTGAATAGACCTAGAGGGTATTTTGCTAAATGAAATAAGTCAGACAGAGAAAGACAAATATTATATAATTTCATTTATATGTGAAATCTTTAAAATGAAACTAATGAAAAAATAAACAAGCAAAAAAAAATAGACTCATAAACACAGAAAGCAAATTTGTAGTTACCATGAGGGAGTAGAGTGAGGCAAAATTGGCAAAGGGGATAAAGAGGTACAAACTTCCAGTGATATAATAAATAAGTCATTATTTGATGAAATGACATATTTATTTCAGTTTTGGATGAAAATTTCAGCATAGGGAACATAGACAGTAATATTGTGATATCTATGTGGTGACAGATAGTAACTATACTTATTGTGGTGAGCATTTCATAATGTACATCATTGTTGAAACACCATATTATATACCTAAATCCAATATAGTATTGTATATCAATTATACATGAAGGAAGGAAGGAAGGGAGGGAGGAAGGGAGGTAGGAAACACTTTCCGTATCTGGGTTGCAGCCCATACTAGGTAAATTACAATATCTGGAGGTAGGAGCCGGGTATCAGTAGTTTTTAAAATGACCAAGTGGTTCCAACGGGCAGTAAGTTTGGGAACCACTAAATTAGGCATCTCAGATACCTCCAAGGAGATCATGCAGAAGAGGAAAGAAAAAGGAGTTCTGTCTATAGAGACATCTTTGCAGAAGGGACCGCACAGACGCATCCTAATACATTTCGGCCACAGCCCCAGGCACCCTGAGGAAGAAGCCTTGGCCATGTCCTACTCATCTGGCAGGCTTCTAGCCTTGAAGCTTCATTAACGGAACTTGAGCCTAAAAGCCAACATTATGACCACTCATATTCCAGTCAACATTATTAATTGGAATAATTTACCGAAATTTTTTAAGTCATTTCATAAATAACGCAATTTCTACTTCTCCACCTTCCTCCTGATCATCTTTATTAAATCTAGCCTGAGAAGGTGAGTTATGCAAACACTGCCAGAGCCTGCCCAAGACATTGCAAGGGTGTTGTTCTGTTTTAAAATAAACCCTCCACCCACACCTGATTTGCATTTCATATGGTTTACTATTCACCGCCTTTCTTTTCAAGAAATTTGTTGAGGATATCACTTTAGTTTGTTATAACAGACTCTTAGACTGAACTGTACAAAGAAAACAAAGAAAGATTGAATATTTCCTATCATTAAACTTGGACCCAATTTCACCTTTTCCATGAGTCCCACTGCACTATGGAAAGGATTTTTAGAATGATTCTCAATTGCATATTTTCAAGTATTATCAGGCCCTATTTTTCAGCCTATGCCTTCTCTTAGGACTTTTTCTTTTTAATTAAAAACGTTGTTTAAAATGTATTATCAAAGCAACACTAATGTAATGAGAGAGCCTTATCAGATAAGATAATCTGCTTTCCCTCAAAGATGCCATTTGTATTGCATTAAAGGTTGTTTGCTCAAAGAGATCTGAAGAAGATAGGTGAGTTAACCCTGTCCATCAAATCCTCTTTCTCCCTCAGCCAATTTTATTTTTTATTTTTACCCTCCAAGTACTGCAAGTACAACAGTGGCTCCATGGAGACTAATAGGATAGGAAAGATTGAGCTATCTTTAATATTTGCTTTTGTTTTTTATTTCCAAGAAATCTCTCTTGGGTGAGATAAGGTTAGACATGTAGCTAGTGAATGCATGTAAACCTATTTTACCATAGAAAAGAATTTAATTCTCTTATAATTAAGCAAAATAAGAGTGAGGAGTCTTAAAGACTGAAGCTCATCTGGTTTTAAGTGTATCCCATAGCACTAAATTCATTAAGGGCAACCAATGAAAAACAAGCTGCACACAAAGATTACCTCTCACCCCGTGCAATAGTTTCCACACAGCCACATCCGGACACTGCACAGTCCATATGAATTAAACAGAAGATGCAGAGCAAGAAACCATACTTAGCCCCAGCTCTTTGGGAACATAGCTAATCGGGAAGCCGATCCACTCCGCTTCTAATTCACAATTCTCCTGCTCAGCTAATACCCTCATTTGGTTCTCACTAAGTACGGAGCCCTTTCCCCACCACGGGCCTTCGCTCAGGCCATTCCGGCTGCTCTCAGTGTGGTTCCCCTGACTCTGTGCCTGCTGACTCCCTCTCGGACTTCAGATTTCAATAAAAAGAGGATCCCTTCCCATCCCCCTCATCCCAGAGTCAGTCTCAGATTCAGCATCCTGTTTATTTTCAAGTCCTATTCCAGGGCTTGACATCTAAGAGATAACTATTTATGAAATTAATAAGTGCTAACTGAAAAATGAATAGATTAACAAATGCTTCCTCCAGCTAAAAAAGTAAATAATCTTAAGAGAATTTTAATGACTAATAAAAATGGACTCTATTTTTAGTTCAACAGACACACCCATATGATAATCAACTACAAAGAATGGAATGATTACCTCGAGCTATTCAGGATCAGAGGTTAATGTCAGTTGCTCAGATTGAATTGTAAGCAGGTGCCACACTGAGCACCTGGAACTCAGACCTGACCAGTGTGTTTCACAACTGTTCCTTCTTCTGAACACTTACATGCATCTATTATCTGCCCCATTCATCCATTCAAAAGGACTCTGCTGCTTTGTGAATCTTACTGACGTCTTAAAGTAGAACTTAGGCTATCGGAGAGCAAGGACGACTCTTTTAATAATAATAGCAAACACTATTGAGTATTTCCTGTGTGGCAGTCCTAAATTATCCTGAACTAACAATGTATACAACGAAGCCATGATTCAAACCCAGGCAGAATGACTGCAGCGCCTGAAAGCATTCTCTTTCCTTAAATCTGTATCTGACGCTTCTCAGCCATTTGCATGACTTTTGGCAAGTTGCCTGCTCTGTAAAATGCAGATGACATGGTCTCTACCTCAGAGGGTTGTGAAAATTAAAGAAAGGTGATACCTGTAAAAAGCTTAGAAAATGGCTGGCTCTCAATAGATGCTCATTATGTTAGTTGTTATCTTTGTTTATAAGACAGTCTCCAATACCAGGAAACCCCTTAGTCCCGGTTTTAGCACGGAAAGTCCCCCTATCTTTGGCAAAAGTTCAAACTGGGAGGCGGACTCTGAAAGTGAGGCAGGGCAGTGTGGAGTGACCGCAGGGCAGAAGCCGGCTCCCAGTCCCTTTCAGGTCCTTTGCCTAACTGACCTTTCTCACCTTTGCCACACCACAGTATTTCAGGCAACTGCCCTCCTTAGTCAATAGATTGTAGTGATTCTTCTACATAGACCATAACCCTGTTTTTCCCCATTTATAACCGTTCTGTTTTCTAAGAGCAAACTATTTGATGTTTGAAAATAACTTTAAAGGCAAAAACGCCTAGCCTGCCTGAATGAAACTAGAGCATCTAGTGCCCCCTGCTGCCTTTTTACAGCAAAGGCAATCAAGTAAGAAAAGCTTGGTTGGCCGTGAATTTTTGCTTACCGAGGTCTAAATAGAAATCGGCATAAATATCCTAAATTTGACATTAGACTCACGTTTTATCTTTTCTGGATTCCATCACCTTGAATTCCAGTTGTTTGCCCTGCCTCTGCAAAAACTAAGTTTTGCTTAATTAAACTTTCTCGTTTATATTTGCTTCCCTTGACTTTGCTTTTAGCTGTTCTGCTTCGAGGATTTGAACTGCCTTTGTCTTACTCTTCGCTCTTTTTCAGTTGCCTAGAAGCCCGAGGCCGGCGCGATGGGGCGAGAGGCTGCGGCATCATCGGGCGGAGGGTGCCTCCCCGGCCTCCCGGCGGCCTGGGACAGTCCTGCGTCCGGGTCTCTGGGATCCCCTGCAGCGACCCAGCTCCGCGGCGCTCTCAGAAGACAAATTCCGCGGATTCAGAGCGCGAGCCGTTGAAGCCAATGGGATGCCGGCTCACGGCTGAGTGACAGGACGGTCTAGCCAGTGCGCATGCGCTTTGGGAAAGGTGGGTCCGCCCCCGACTTGGGCTTTATAAAGGTGGCTTCGGAGGTCCGCAGTGTGTGCACTGCGGTGAGGGGAGCGATCGGCCCAGCATGTCTGTCGCAGGTGAGGGCGAGCAGCCCATGGAAATGAATCCTCCCGGCTAAGAACCGACACGAGGCCGTCCCCAAAGGCACCGGGAGCCAGAACAGCGCTGAGGCCGAGAACAAGGACTCGGAGCCGGCTGGAGCTGTCAAGTGGACTTGGGCGCCGTCCTGAGCCAGATAGTGGAGAAGGAGGCGACCCGAGTAAGGTGTGCCCGCAGACCGGGAGCTGAGCTGGGGTCGCGCGGGGCCTGCCATCCTGGCCGAGGCCTCCGTCCTCCCTTCATCCTCCCTCCCTTCAGTCCCCCTCCAGCTGGGAAGGGAGCTGTCTGACAGCAGGAAGCCCAAGTTCCTTGAGAGTGACCTCTGGGCACAGGGGAAGACAGGGGTAGACCATAGCACTTTGATAAGAGTGTTTTAAAAAAACAAACTCGCAGATGTGACAAGTGCCCAGGGGCCTACACTCTGGCCAAGATGCCCGTTCTTTACCCCCTCCCAGCCTGGGGTGCTGTGGTCTTTAATTTTGTGAGGGTCAGTGTGGATTTGTTAACGTATTTCAGAGGTAGAATTTTTACAGACTTAGGGCGGATGGATGTACACCTTTGCAGTGGATGGTGGCTTTATTTGGAATCTGTCAGGGAGAGCTTTGGGAGATCCTTAACTCAGGGATTCCTTGTAAGACTTCTTATTGCCATGTGTCTCACCTACTATTTCAGAAAAGTGTTTATTGCTGGCCTGAGCTGGGATCCCAGCAAAAGGGGTCCAAAGACTAGTTTACCAAATTTGGAGACATTATTGATCATATTACAAAGAGGGATCCCTACATTGGAAGATCAAGAGGATCCTGGTTCATCCTCTTTAAGATGCAGCCAGGGTAGAAAAGGGAAGGTAAGCACTTCGTCAAGGATCCTTGGGTAAGGGTGTGTTTCCAAGATAATAGTATTCCTGGGTCATGAGCGGTGTGTCTGAGCTGCACATGACTAAGTGCTCCGGAGGAAGCAGAATTTAAGAACTTGTTTTTGTATAGATTTAAGTGGAGGGGAGGAGTAAGAGGTATATGAGTTGGAATGGCCCAGAAAAAGGATAATGGACTTTTATTATCTGTTCTTCTGCCTATGTTGAGCACTTCACAGGTGAGGATTAGAGAAGCATCCAAGGATGCAATGAGGTAAGCATTATGTAGGTGCCATTTTACAAGGATGAAATTAAGGCCCAGAGAAGGTTCAGTAACTAGAAGACATCACAAAGGGGGTGAAACGGTGGTGATTCCAAGCCCAACAGCCCTGCATTGGCCTGCCCTCTTAAGTCCCAGCTGCTTTACTTCTGGAGAAAACAAGTCTTGGATTGGGACTGCCAGGACAGGAAAAGGGCACATAGCATGGGCAGACTCTCCACGGGAGTGAGGACTGACCTATGCGCTTTTAGGTAAACTGGCTGGATTTCAGGTTTAGAGAAAACTGGGAAGTCAGGCTCAGGGAGAGTGTGGTGTGTGTGGAAGGGATTAAACATTCTGTACACCTGTGGGGGGGTCTGTGGCTCAAAGAGAAGGGATCGGCCCAGTGGAATGCTGCTGGGAAATGCTAGTGAGAACTAGAACCAGAGTCCCCCTGATCCCCTTCTCCGAAGGGCTTGTCCCAGTGCTAGCACTGGAAGTCCCACACGCTGGGAAACCCCAGAGTCTCCAGTTTCAGTGTTATTATAGGTCCCTCGACCTGGGAAATCCCTTCCATCTAGTTTTAGTACTAAAAGTCCTGCTTCCCAGGAAACCCCTCACTTTGGGTTTTTGCACCAAAAGTCCCCAAACTCCTCAGACTTGGGCAAACCTGGACAACTGGTCAGCCTACTACTCTTCTGCTGGATCAGATCCTAGACCAGAAGCATGAACCCCAAAAAGTTCACAGCCACGAAGAAGGATCTCTTGCCACCAAGAAGATAGGGGAGTACTTTGGCGAGTTTCCTAATGACTCAGGAGGTGAGTGTCTCCCCAGGGTAGTATGCTCCCCACTGGCCTCTGTCTGACTCTTCCCCTTCTGACTTGGCCGCCTGGAGCCCTCTCAGCGGGGCTGTGCTTCTCCCTCCTCTCTGGCTTTCAGGTGCCTTCAGTGTGTTCCCTGCAGGTCCAGAGTCAGAGGAGGTACCAATCCTGACCTTTGCCTCCATTTTCAGATCAAGGCCATTGTGTTTTCATTGGATCCAGAGTCCAGCAAAAGACAAGTTTCTGTTTTCATCACCTTTAAAGAAGAGGAACCTGTGAGAAATACTCCGGAGAAGTTCCACACCATCTGCGGAAGGCAAGGAATTTCCTGCTCTGTAGACCTGCCTTCCTGCCCCTTGGATTAGTGGGGACCTAATAAGTTCCCAGTCATCCCAGTTTTAGCACTGAAAGTATTATGTCCCAGGAAACCCCATCTCTGGAATATGAAAGGTCCTGGCTTTTGGCAATGAGTGTGGAAGTTTGGAGGAAAAGTATAAAACCCATACAGCAGCCCAAAAAAGAGAAGCTGAAAGAAGCACCATCTTTAGTGTCAAATGGATATGGCACAGATTATGCGTCTCCTGTAGTAGCTATTGCCCACTTTTCCTGACCACTGATATTGGCATCCACAACTTGCAGTTCACAATAATGGTTTATCTATCCAATGTTGCATGACTCAGAGTGACTTAAGTGTGTCATAATTATGAATATTAACAGCCTGTCCCTGACTTTGCCTGTGCATTAACTGTTGTGTTTTTGTATCAGAATAGTGCTAGCATGGTTTTTTAACTTTGTGAGTATTATGACCATGTTTTCTAAGAGGTCAGATAATGAGAATGATTATAATACCAGCACAAGCATGATCCCATTCCTGAAAAAGAAGGCTAAACGACTGTTATTTGAATGACAAATGGAAGGACACATACAACTGGGTCCGGGAGACAGATAACAAGAACAGAGCATGTTGCACAATATGCAGGAAAGAATTTGGAACTGAGTATGGTGGAGAAATGGAAGCCAAGACATATGGGACCAAGTCCCACAAGTCCAGAATGAGACAGGCAGGTGCCTCTAAACCAATCGAAAGTGTTTTCATTTCCTGTAAATACATCGATGTTCAGTCAAAAATAGCAGCTGTTGAATTAACTTAGTCATACCACACAAACAAACATGCATTATCATATTGCTCCCTTGATTGCTCCATAAAACCTGATTCAGGTTGCAACTAAAATGTCCTCTGGGCAAACTAAAGAAGAAATTTTGCTAACAGATGTGTTAGCCCCTTATAGTGTGGAGTTGATTTTGTCATTTCTCACCAACAATCTGGCTTTCTACACTGTATCAACTTCAAGCAATGCACCAAATCATGGCAACAAAATAGTTCCTTCTCACTTTTAGGTACTTTGACTTCAAAAGTGGAGTTTCAAACCATCTCCTTGATTTCTATGAGTTGTTTAATGAAACAGCTGACATCATAAAATAGAAGATCATTGATATTTTGTCCAAATACAAACTAGACTTATCTCATCTCTCTGCAGGTTCATCAGATGGGGCAAATGTAAATTTTAGTGAATTCCATTCAGTCTACAAACTTTTTACCAAAGAAAATGAAAAGATCTTAGCTGTTCAATGTCCTGCACATCTTGTATACAACACTGCTAAAAAGGGTTTCATTTGCTTAAATATTGAGACTTCCATAATGAAAGTTTTTTTTTTACTCACTTTTCAGGATCTTCAAAATATGCAGAAGCACTTAATGAAATTTCTGACTTCAGAGAAGTGGAAGGAGATAACCTTTTTAGACATGTGCCTTTGAGATGGACATCATTGCTGCCAGCCATTGAAAAGATGCTAAAATGTTGGCCTCCCATAAAACCTTACTTTCAAAATGTGGGACAAGAAGAATGTCCTTCTTTGACTTGGAAATACATTGAGGATGAAAATGGAGAAAAGGATTACAGTAAAACAGAAATGTATATGCTGTTTCTCCAAAACTGTTTGATGATCTTTGAAGAGGCCATAAAGTGCCTCAAAAAGGATGAATTGACTGCACCTGAGCTGCTTGATGTTATGTATAGGTTGAGAGAAAGACTTATACAGCAGAAAAAGGAGTCCTTTTTTTGGAAGTAAGACTGCTGCAGAACTAAAAAAGAAAGAAAGAAAAAGTCACCAAAAAGGGGCACCCAGGTTAAACAGGACTTTCTTAATTTCTTTACTAAAACTTTAACTTATTTGGAATTCAACTTGAATTTCACCAGTTCAAATTATCTCTGTGCCTTAAAACCATTTTCCCTGAGAAGATGTTTAACTTATGACGACATCCAGTGTGCATCGGAGTGTTTAAGGATGATGGCTTTCTGAGACATAGATGGCCTACGTGATGAATTTACAGATGCAAGGGACTTGATTGACAGACAGCTGGGCTATCAAAACAAGCCTGTGGATACAAAGTGGGTGGACATTTTTAGAGAAATGGAAACTAATACCTACAAAGCTAAAAATTTGCTGTTGCTAGGAAGTAAAATCTTAAGTATTCCACACTCAAACACTTTCATTGAGCAAATATTTAGCTTAATGTCATCACATTGGACTGATACTAGGAATCAGTGCAATGTAGGCTTGAGCAGAGCCAGAGCTGCAAGTCAGAGTGGGTTTCACATTTGACTGTATTCAGTTTTTACCACTACATAAGAGAAAAGAAGGATGTCCTAATGGCTGCAAGCAGTTCAGAAAAGTGTTACTGGAAAAGAAGAAAGAATAAAAATATTCTACTGCGTCATGGGACAGAAAGGAATAATGTCACTTTTAATTTAAACATAGGAAATATCTGTTTAATCCTATGATGTTCACATTCTCCTTTTAAAGTCTTATTTTGATTTATGTATTTGTATTTAAAATATCTATAGCATATTAACAGCAGTATGTGTCTAATTTAGAAATAAACAATATGATATGCTGGGATGTTCATTCAAAATTTCTTTTACTGATGAGCAGAGGCCAAAATGATAAGTGAGAACTGGAAGAAGAGAAGAACTGAGGACCTGAAGCAGGTTTTGTTTGTTTGTTTCAAAATCAGTTAAGTCCCTTGTGACTTTGGTTTTTATAAATCGGTCTCCTAAAGCCAGGGCATCCCTGGAAGAATGGATACAAACTGCATCTCTGAACATTTGAGAATGAGGACCAGACATAGGGTCCACAGACAGGTGTAAGCGGCCATCTGTGAGGTCTTGCCTGAGCAGCCAGTCTGTCAGTGGGACCCTCAGCCTTGCTCTCCCCTTCTCCAATTCCACCTACATGCAACTTATGGAAACCTACATTACTAGAGGTTGGAGGTTCTACAAATCCAGAGAGGCCTGGGGATGGCAATCAGGCTATCTGAGAACTTGGATGGGAAAAAAATTTCTATTTTTGCTAATTCTAACTAAAATTTTGCATTTCTTCCCATTAGGAAAATGGGCAACAAACCACAGCAGTATTAGTACCTGCGACTCTCACATTACTGGGAATCACAGATACTCACCTGTTGCAGATACCTCAAGATGTTTAGGTGCACCACTACTTGGAAATTATGCTACTTTTTAAACTCATGCCTAGATCTTGTAATTTAATAAAGAAGTGAATCTATTATATCACAGATTGAAATGTTGATAATTTGATGACTGTACTTCAATAAAATTGGCTTCCTTGGCAATCCTGTGTATTTTATTGTGCTTTTCTCCAAACTGTCAAAGGGGCTGACGGCACATTGGAGGCTTAGAGTCTCTGCTGTGGATTATGAAGAGAGAGCTTTATAAATAGGTTCAGGTAAATAGGCTTTGTTGCACTGTCACCTCATGCTCTAGCCTTACCATTAGCTGGAATAGGTGGCAGCTGTTGGCTATGAGTTGAGAGAACAATGGTCTCCTTGCCTAAGAACTTTCATGTTCCCACATGTCCAAGAATATGAAATTCCCCTAATGAACAAAGAATTGTTCTTTGTTAGGTTTCAGTGAAAATGATATGAGTAGAAATATCATGAGGCTGTTTCCAGCTTCTGATACCTCAATGACAGGGGTGGTAGTGACCTCAGAGAGCATTGAGTCTGAGCAGAATCTTATAAATCCAGTCACTGAGGTATGGGGGAAGTTGTTTATGGGGCAGGAGTTGGGGGTTGGGGTTCACATCAGTTAAAGATACTGAGGCATTTCAAAAGGCTTTTTAGTTTTATTCTAAATAGGCAAAGTATCCTAGGAGTTGGAAGAGACAAAGAGAGAGGAGGCTGTATTAAAGATGGGCATAGAAGGGAATGGGAAGTAGAGCTGGCAGAACCTACCACTTCCTGTACTCCACATTACAGTGCCTGCCATCAATTGCCCTGTTTATCTTCAGGAATCCTATGAAGTCCTTTGGACAAACTTAGATTTCTCATAGATTAGATACAGTCACATTACTTCCCTGAAACACTTTTTTTTTTTTGGAGGGGAGGAGGCTAACATTTATATATTTATTGGAATATAGTTGATACACAATATAATATTGATTTCAATTACAACATAGTGATTCAATATTTAATATATATCATTAAATGCTCACCACACTAAGTGTAGTTACCCCGTTACTACCAAGCTATGACATTATTGGGTATATTCTCTCGCTGTATTTCCTCCCTGAAACAGTTGTAAGCGCAAGAAATAGGTTGAGCACATTTCAAGAGATTTAATGTACTTAGGTTTCTCTTTTTTAAAATTCTGCTGCTATTGCCAGCCCCATAGCACCCTTAAAGCTGCTGATGACTGCCTTCAAATCTCTGAAGGGCTGTTACATAAGAAAGAGGGCCAGAGTTACTGTATGCTAACTAGAAGGCAAAACAATTCCAAATCAATTTAAGGTTCTTTCCTGCAAACGGATTGTCCCAGTACTAGACACAATTTAAAGTGCCTCCAGGTCTAACACTCTATACCTTTCTCTTCAGTTACTTAAGCCCACCAAATTTTGGTCTTGAAAGATAAAACCAGGATCCTGATCTCCCCACCACATCTAGAGGACCTCATAGATGGTGTGGTGACCTGAAGGGCGCTTAGGCTTTGAAACCAAATTTGGGTTCCAACCTCTGCACCCCACCCACTTAAGGAGCTGAGATTGTGGACAACTAAATCACCTCTCTCTGAACCTTAGCTCTCTCTGCTGAAAAAGGAGACAATCTGCTGGGAGTATGTAAAAGGCCAGGATTGCTGAGATGTCCCACATTTGTCCCTGATGTAAATGAACTAAAACCCTTTCGCCTCTGGGATCCCGGTTTTACACCCCAGACGCACTCCCTGCGGACACTCCCTGCAGACGGAGCACGGAGCCAGGCCCAGCGGCCGCTGGGGCAGCCACAGCGCTGGGGATCCCGGCTGTCCAGCTAACTGGCCTGGTTCCTCCCGGCGCGCCTGGGCAGGGCGGGGCCCAGGCGAGGAGGACGCGGCGCATGCGCGCAGCAGGCAAGGCGCCGCGCGGAACCGGGAACCCTCGGAAGGCTAGAGCTGAGCGTCTGGAGGCGCCGGCTGCTGGGAACACTTCCGGCCTCTAGGTGCGAAGCTTGCCGCAACTGACTCTCGACTTTTTCCTTTCTAGCAGTGGAGGGGGCTCGGGTCGCAGGTGAGCTGCGCGCCGTGCAAGCGAGACCTTACTGGCCTGAATTTTCTGGTAGGAGCGCAGTCACAAGTAAAGATGCGGAGGCCATTGGGAGGATTTCGCAGGGTGGATCTGCTTTCCCAGGGTTCGCTTCCCTCCTCTTGGGAATGCCCCCGCGGTCCTGAATCTCCCACCGGCCCTCCCTCCTAACATTCTAGAGGTGGGGAGGGCGGCAGAGCCCCTCAGACCATTGCAAAAACGCTTGGCAGGATTTTAACCTTCCCCAGACCAAACAGACAACATTTGAAAATGTCTTTCGAACCCCAGGGAATTCAAATGTAGGTAACTGTTGATACTCAACATGTGAAAATACTTTTTATGTAGTAGCTTACAAAAATCTCTTAGATGATTCCCCAAATTTTGGGGAGCTAGGGGTAGGACAGGGCTCTGTCACCTGGTTTTGTATGTGGTGCAGTAAATAATTTTGCTGCATTGCACCCAAGATGCTTTTTGGCTTTTCCATGTGATGAGCATCACGTTTGCAAGCGGAGCTTATGATGTGTGCCGCCCATCATCCCCCACCTCCACCCCTTTCGTGTGTATGGCATGGCCTTCGTGTATGGTTCTGGGCAGATCATACTGGCCCTACAATAGAAAAGGAGCAAAAACGGTGATTGCTTTTTGTCTGAATTTTCTCTTTGAGAACAGAATTTTGCTTTCTTAAAACAACAGTCCCCACATCCAGGCTCATTAATACTACCTCCTGAACCTCTTTCCAATCTGTCCACCCTCATTGTCATATTCTCCAGGTCAGGCTACCTTCATCTTGTGCTTAGCGTATCTTCCTGCTTCACCTCAACCTATTTCCCACTGCAGCAGCCAGGAAATGCTTGCTGGAGTTAAATTAATTGTGAGGTGTCTCTCACTGTCCTTTACAGGGCTTACATGAGTGATTCAGCCCTGTCTTTCTCACCAGCCCCATCTGTTTTCGCACTTCTGTGCATTTTGAAAATATACTGATGTTTTCTCATGCCACTGGGCCTTTGCACATGTTCTCCCTCGGCTTTGAGCATACCCTTCCTTGCCACTCTCTTCACTTAACTGACTCCTGTTCTCCCCAGCCTCCCTTTTGGGACTCTGCCTTTTGTAGGAATCCTCCCTGAGGCTCCAGACCTTGTTAGGTGCCCCTCCTGGTAAGGCTCATCCATGCATCCACCTCCTTCACTGTGCTATACTGTCCTGAAGGCCAGGGCTGTGTCTGAGGGCTTTTCCTTGCTTCCTGCTGCCTTGCACACAGAAGATGCTCAATAAATAGTTGTTAAATGGGATCGAGTGTAAGTTGTAGTTCTATGGTTTGGTTCACTGAATGCCTAAATCATAAATTACCCCACCTCAGTTGTTTTCTCCATCTGCTGTTACAGTAATGGCCTTACACACGTCAAGCTTAAAAATGGATGTAGGGATAAAAGAGAAGAAGAATCATTATTAGAGCAGCTAGTATGTGTTGAATGCTCGGTATGTGCCAGGCACTGTTCTAAGTGCTTTATAATATTAACTCATTTAATTACCACAACTCTATAAGTAGATAGTTTTATTATCTCTATTTTATAGATGGAGAAACCATCTTACAAAGAGACTAAGGAATGTGCCTGATGTTTTACAGCTAGTAAGCAGTGGCATCAGGTTTGAAGCCAAACATACATTGTGGAATATGATTAACTCTGAGAAAGACAGTAAGTGGGACTGAGTATGAAGTGCTCATAGAGCTGAAGATGGTTAAGTCACCAGATGAACGACAGTGTGGTCACCACTTTAAGCTATAAGTCCAAGAAAAAGTGATTAATTCAGAACTTAAAATGCTGGAAAACCTCAGTTTCATTTGCATTCTCTCTTTAGGCTGCTGACTCAGTTATCAGAGGTATGATTGCTAAGTGTTAGGAATGAGACTTCTCAGAGTCTGAAATGTTGGCTCTGCTGTGTGACCTCAGTAGTATTGTGTGCCTTCTCTGTGCCTCAGTCTCCTCATTTGGAAAATGGGGGTAACAATTTTAGTACTTACGTCAGAGGTTTGTGAAAATAATTACATGAGTTTCTGGAAGGCCTTAGAGTGGTGCCTACCTAGCATACGGCAACCAAAACATTACTATCATTATTATTTGTTTGTTCACCATTCAGTCAGTGGTGGTTTTGAACACAGGTCCTTCCTGCATGTTCTGTCCCCCTGCACCACATCCTGGACACAGATGAGCTCTCCTTCCTGACTCTTCTTCCCACAGATATTGAGGATTTTCCAGTGTTGCCTCCTGTCCAGGGCCCTCATCTCCTGTGCCTGGCATTCCCTCCACCTCGGGCCCTTCCTCGCAGTAAGTGCTAGCCTGCTCTCTGAAAGAAGCTCAAAACCCCTTTTCTGTTCTTCTGGGCTATTTTGTTACCTATTGCTCCTGGGAATGAAGCCCAGGTTAACCTAATTGATGAGCCGTGAGAAAATTGTAAAAATATAATAAAGATATCTGATGCATCATGTCTCATACGTACAGAGATATTTTCCCCATACAAAACTGAAGATATAAAAGCACCACTGAGAATCTTAGCATTTAAAAAGCTGCAAGGAAATTTAAGGCTCATCCCATCTAGTCCCTTCAACTTTGAGTGGAGTTGAAGTTAGGGGTGGGGTGTGGACCACCAGCCAACTAATGACCAGTGCGCATGTCACCTTCCTGTAGTCAGCACACTTTCTCCTACGTTTACAGAACCCTGAGCAGAATTTCCATGGGACTTCTCACCCATGGATATATATTTCAGCTGCTGCTAGCATGCACACAGTAGGAGGTCACAACTCCAGTTAAGTTTGTATCAGGCAGGGCTTCATTATATTCTTCAGTGATGCAGCATTGACAGCATGGCTGTCTGCCACCACAGAAGAGCTGTCTCATAACAAAGCTAGTGACAAACATGCTCAGAGTGAATCTTTTGGTTCTGTCAGCAAACAAACATCCATGTTACCCCTGTTCTTTTCTTCAGTATGAGGAGGACGGGGGAACAAATGTCTGTATGAATATGAAAGAATTCCAAGATGGAGTTGATCAAGTCAGGGAATTTAGAGGTAGAAAAGCAATTTGCTCCAGACCAGTTAGATGGTACAGGCTGGAGTGGTTAACAAGCCTGGAAGTTAGTTAAGAAGGGGAGCAGGTTCCGAGGGAGGTGGGCTGTAGAGGACCGTTGGGGTTTGTAGGTGGGGGAAAAGAAGGACATTTCACACGTTGGAGTGAAAAGTGCAGGTTGTAGTGTTACAGCCCAGTGAGGAGACTGCTAACCAGAACGAAGGCTTCCTTGGAGAGGCGGAAGGCTCTAAGCAGCTGAGGGTAGGGCAGGTCTTGAAGACAAGGAAAGGTGAATCAGCCTGAGGTGCCCCCTGAGTGTGCCTGAAGGTGACAGAATGGGGATATGTAAATATCAAGCTTCTCTCATTTTAGTAGACTAGAGAAATTAGTCTCTGCAATTCTGTGGAATGCGGATCATTTTTATATACATTTGCTCTCCCAGATTCTTTTTATAAAATTTGTCTCTTCCTTAGCTTGAGAATCCCACCTTGCCAATGGACCTGATTGGTTTTGGTTACGCAGCCCTTCTGACATTTGGAAGCATTTTGGGATATAAGCGGAGAGGTAAGCCCAAATCAGATTTTTCGTCAGAGGGACTTGGTAGGGACTTAACTAGGATACCTGAGGGTCTGTCTGTCAGTAGGACAGGAAGGCAGCTCGATCTGTGGGGGGAAGGGTTGTGAGGGGTGGCTGTGACAGAGCATCCGGCTTGGGGCGCTGGGTCTCCCTTCCCTTGTCTGTTTACCCATCATTAGCAACTGCCCAATTAAGTGATTTAACTTCCCCAGAGCTACTTGTTAATTATCAAATGAGGATTTTTTTTTGGTTTGCCTATGGTGTCAAAGAACTGAATTATGTTGATACTATATGTTGTAAAGGAAAATTCATTAAATACTTAGATATCTTATCTGAAGTTATCTTTTTGTCTCTATCCAAAAGAAGAAAAACAAAAACCCAGTTGAAAAATTGAAGAGTTTTCAATTTATCTCCTTTCATGGAGAAACATGAAAGGTCAACATTTATATTTTACATTATATTTTAATGTTTTAAGGTAGCAGCATTTATAGTCACAGTGTCTCATATTTCTGTTTCTTTTAATTTTTTAATGAAAATTTAAAAATGAAGTCATATTTTTCAAAAAGTGTTATATCACTGCCATTGGTGTGCTTGAGTTTGGGCGAAAAAGCCAGGTCTACCTGCTTATTAGAGATACTTCCTTCTTTAGAGATTGCTCAGAAGTCCAGGGCCAGAAAGCACAGTTCTCTGGAGGGGCTGAGAGGCTGGCACGGTAGGACAGATTATCTTCTAAGCCTCCTGAGAGCCTGTAATTCACCTTTGATTTTTGGTTGTTGTTCTTATTTTCTCTCTCAATGTGTGTAGTATCGTGGAAATGTTATTTGATGGAAAAAAATGACAACACCAAAATAAGACCTGTGAACAGCTACTCAAAAGTGGATGTTTCATAATCTGCCGTTAAAGAAGCCTCCGTTTAAAATACCGATAGGTCGTTATTGAAACAGTTTTTCATTGTCATTTCTGAAGATGTTTCTAAATGATCTTTATTACAGAACAGAAAACATCTGGATATTTCTGCCTGCTTTTAGAGGGGTGGGAAGATGCAAATGTGTGTGTGTGTGTGTGTGTGTGTCTGTCTGTCTGTCTGTCTGTCTGTCTGTCTAGGTGCAGGTAGGGGAACCGAGGGGAGGAGAGGATTATTTCACTATTCTAACCCAAATCTCTTCAGGAGTAAGTGAAATCACATTACCTATAAGGTCTCTGATTTCAGCTGGGGGCTCATTGCTCAGCTGCACAATATGCTTCCTTGGCCTCCTGCAAGGCGAGAGCCCCTCACTAAGTGATCCTGGAAGCCCCTGGGGCTATCATGTTCACAAAAAACATAACCTTCACAAGAAGCCCGCTCTTGTAGTATAATGTGGGTTAAGAGCACAGGCCACAGAATCAAGCCTTCCTAAATTCTCTCTTGACACAACTGCTTTCTAGCTCAGATACTCAAGTGAGTTGTTTTAGCTTCCAGGCCTCAATTCCTCATTTGTAAATTAATCTGTTAAGATTAAATACAGTAATCATGTAACACATTTCACATAGTTCCTAGCACAGAATAAAGGTTTGATATTCTTGTTTCTGCTGCTCCTGCCCTGCCAGTGGAGAGGTCTGTGGGCCAGCTGGGCAAAGTACCTCCTTCCAGTTTTGTAGGCTGTGTTATATTAAGATGTTTATGGCCCTAATGTCAAGAACTTTGTATAAAATGTCTCAACTGTTTCTGTACTTAGAGCTTCTGTAGGCACGAGTCCCGTGCAGCTGGGTTGGGAGACCTTTCAAGCCACTAGTGCAAGGCAGGCTTTCCTACTCCCTCAGGCTCTGTCAGGCCCTCACACTGCTGTGTATTCAGGGTCCCTCTGCCTTGCACCTCTGTCATGTCTTAGAAACTGTCCGTGAATGGGCCGATACTTAATTTGGTTTTGTCCAGTCACAGTGCCTAAGTAGCAGTACTTTTGAAGGTACACGTGTCACACTTAAAGTAATAGAAGGAATTCCTGGCATTTTGGGATTCTCTTTCTGAGGCCGTTCATTTTTTTCCCAGGTAGTGTTCCATCTTTGATTGCTGGTCTTTTCATTGGATTTTTGGCCTTTTATGGAGCTTGCCGTGTCTCCATTGACAAGCGAGATGTGAAACTCTCTCTGTGTAAGTAAAGCTTTTTTCCCAACTATAGAGAATTGAACCTTGGGAGCGGCTTTTTTGATCCTCTGTACTAATACTAGACAGTCGGATGGCAGGTGGCCGTATATACATGTGTCAAGCAAGACTGAACACAGTTCTTGTTACTTTCTTGATAGACCTGATCAAAAATAATGATATTGCTGCCAGGCCGTCTAACTCAGAAGTTACAGAAACTCAATATTTCTATAAAACTTACTGATAGAAAAATAAAAGAAGAAAAAGCAAGGAATTCTGCCCAGATTGTCTACTAACTCTCCTAATGCATATTAGCATAGCTTTGTGTTGCTGTAAATATCCCTAAAAAGAGATAAACTTGCATTATTTTACTTAATTCACAAGCAGCTCTTAGATCCTGCTTTGCCTTAAGACTTAATCTAGAAAGCCAAGCCTAACCCTTTTTTAGTTTTTTCCTTTGTTGGCCTTAGTAGGAAATGTCCACAGAGAAAATGGAAACCTGTGTGTGTTCAAAGCTTCTGAACACTTGGCTTTCTTTTGTCTAGCTGGAAAGAAAATATAGTGAAGGCTTAGAAAACTACACCAAGAAAATTGTATCTATTTAACTTGATTATTATTCAAAGTGCCCTGGTGGGGAATGGAAGACAATGCAAATGAAGATAAATTTTATCAGTTCTTTATTTGAGGGAGAAAAAGAGATTTAGGTGGCAGGGGCCGAGGGTATGTCTTCTTATTTTAAGTAGGAGCTAGGAATATTTTTAATAAAGAAATTGTGTCAGAAGATAAAAGTATATCAGCAAGCTATGGATATATATAGAATGTATATTGATATGCATACAAATAGTTCACACATGTTTATTGTCAATCATTTTGTTTTTTTGTATCAGCAAATGACTTTCCCTTGAGAGCTGTTCTTAACTTGGGTCATTCATGACCTCATCCTTAGTAAAACCACCTCTCTTGTCATATTGGTTCAGCTCCTGAGAGGCTGGTATGACAATTCTGAATTTAATATTGTTACTTAGACTCTTGTTATTTAGTCTTCACACACTAAATTTCCCAAAGTGGAATACTACAAATTAGAAAATTTTTAGCATTAGTATTTTCCTAGTGTTATTTTATTAATCAGATCTTCATTTAAAAAAAGATAGTGATTATTTTCCTTATATTCAGGAAACTGCCCATTTACTGGCTGTCTGCTGTGGGTCCAGGCACACTGCCCAGTGTTCCTTGGGAAGGCTGAGTACGACAGAGCCCTAGCCTTCTGGGACTGCTCTGTAATTAGAAGTTTCTTAGAAAAAAATTTTTTCTTTGGAAGATATGTCAAGGATGAATTTTGACATGCTTGTTTATTCGGAAACCATTTTTATAAGCTGACTTAAAAAGTCTCTTAATAAAACAGACATACAAAGAAGACATAATACCCATTTTCCTTAAAGTTTTCCAGAAAATAGAAGAGGAGGGAATACTCCCAAACTTATTTATGAAGCCAACATCACCCTAATACCAAAACCAGGGAAAGACCCCACGAAAAAAGAAAACTACAAACCAATATCCCTGATGAATGTAGATGCAAAAATACTCAACAAAATATTAGCAAACCGAATTCAAAAATATATCAAAAGGATCATACACCATGACCAAATGGGATTCATCCCAGGGATGCAAGGATGGTACAACATTCAAAAATCCATCAACATCATCCACTACATAAACAAAAAGAAGGACAAAAACTACATGATCATCTCCATAGATGCTGAAAAAGCATTCGACAAATTCAACATCCATTCATGATAAAAACTCTCATGTTTAGAGGGCATAGAGGGTATAGAGGGCAAGTACCTCAACATAATAAAGGCCATATATGATAAACCCACAGCTAACATCATACTGAACAGCAAGAAGCTGAAAGCATTTCCTCTGAGATCAGGAACAAGACAGAGATGCTCACTCTCCCCACTGCTATTTAACATAGTACTGGAGGTCCTAACCACATCAATTAGACAAAACAAAGAAATACAAGGAATCCAGATTGGTAAAGAAGTTAAACTGTCACTATTTGCAGATGACATGATATTGTACATAAAAAACCCTAAAGACTCCACTCCAAAACTACTAGAA